TCACATCTAAGGCTGGGTGAACAAGACTCTGTCTCAAAAAAAAAAAAAAAAAGTACCTAACTCAATAGGTTAATATATGAGATAATTCATGAAAAGTATATTACACGACATAGGAAAATTACTATTATTATATTGAGATTATTAGTGATTTCAAATTACATACAAAATAAAACTTCAAATATATGAATTCAACTTATGTCAGTTTTGCAGACATCAAGACAGAGGCTGAAATCGGATTAAGTTTAATTGTTGTTTTAATAAGTAACAAAATGTTCCCTAAAAAAGTTACAGAATACAGATTAGCAAAAGGGACAATATCAGCACACAGAAATAACCACTGGTAATCTTTTGGTTTATGTCCTATGATAATAATTTACATATATTAGAATAGAAAAGGACATTTGACAAAAATAGTATCACACTGAACAGGCTGTTTTGAAACCAGCTGTTTTTCAGTGAGTAAAGGGGGAGTCTACAGGCAAATGTATTGTTTTGTTTTGTTTTAATTTTAAAAATCCTTTTATGATAAGAGACACATGAAATTTACCATGTTAACCATCTTTAAGTGTACATTCAGTAGCATTAAGTATATTCACATTTTTGGAAACAGATTTCCAAAACTTTTTTATCTTGCTAAACTGAAGCTCTGCACCCATTAAAACACAACTCCCCATTGGGCGCGGTGGCTCACGCCTGTAATATCAGCACTTTGGGAGGCCAAGGCAGATGGATCACAAGGTCAGGAGTTCAAGATCAGCCTAGCCAATACGCTGAAACCACGTCTCTACTGAAAATACAAAAAAATTAGCCAGGTGTCGTGGCACATGCCTGTAATTCCAGCTACTTGGGAGGCTGAGGCAGGAGAATCGCTTGAATCCGTGAGGCAGAGGTTGCAGTGAGCTGAGATCGTGCCACTGCTCTCCAGCCTGGGCGACAGAGCTCCATCTCAACAACAACAACAAAAAAAAAACCTCCCCCTTTCCCGCTCCCTGCAGGGCCTGGTAACCACCATTCCACTTTCTGTTTCTATGAATTTGCTGACTTCAGGTATCTCATATAAGTGGCATCATATAGTATATGTCCTTTTGTGACTGGCTTATTTCATTTAGCATAATGTCTTCAAGTTTTATCCATGTTGCAACATATAACAAGATTTCCTTCCTTTTTATGGTTGAATAATATTTCATTGTGTATATAGTATATACCACATTTTGCTTGTCCATGTATCCATCCATAGACATTTGGGTTGTTTCCATCTCATAGCTATTGTGAATAGTGCTGCTATGAACATAGATGTACAAAGTGTCTCTTTAAGACCCTGCTTTCAGGCTGGATGCAGTGGCTCATGCCTGTAATCCCAGCGCTTTGGGAGGCCAGGGTGGGTGGATCACCTGAGGTCAGGAGTTCAAGACCAGCCTGGCCAACATGGTGAAACCCCGTCTCTACCAAAAATACAAAAATTAGCTGGGCATAGTGGCGCATGCCTATAATCCCAGCTACTTGGGAGGCTGAGGCAGGAGAATCACTTGAACCTGAGAGGTGTAGGTTACAGTGAGCCGAGATCGCACCACTGCCCTCCAGCCTGGGCGAAAGACTGAGATTCCATCTGAAAAAACAACAACAACAACAACAACAACAAAAAACAGACTCTGCTTTTAAATCTTTTGGGTATTTGGATATACACACAGAAGTGGGATTGCTGGATCATATGGTAGTTCCATTTTTATTTTTATTAATATGTTTATATTTTTTTCTGAGACAGAGTTTCACTCTTGTTGCTCAGGCTGGAGTGCGATGGCAAGATCTTGGCTTACTGCAACCTCTGCCTCCTGGGTTCAAGTGATTCTCCTGCTTCAGCCTCCAGAGTAGCTGGGATTACAGGCTCATGCCACCATGCCCAACTAATTTTTCTTTTGTATTTTTAGTAGAGACAGGGTTTTGCCGTGTTGGCCGGGCTGGTCTCTAACTCCTGACCTCAGGTGATCCATCTGCCTTGGCCTCTCAAAGTGCTGGGATCATAGGCATGATCCATCATTTCTAGCCAAGGTAGTTCCATTTTTAATTATTTTAAAAATGTTTACAATTTTTCACTTTATTTTTAGAGATGGACTCTTCACTGTCTACCCAAGCAAGAGTGTAGTGGCACCATCTTAACTCACTGCAGCCTTAAATTCTTGGGCTTAAGTGATCCTTCTGCCTCAGCCTCTCAAGTAGCTGGGACTACAGGTGTGCACCACCATACCCAGCTAAATTTTTTATTTTATTTTTTCTTTTTCCTTTTTTTTTTTTTTTTTTTTTTTTTTTTTTTTTTTTTTTTTTTTTTTTTTTTTTTTTTTTTTTTTTTTTTTTTTTTTTTTTTTTTTTTTTTTTTTTTTTTGAGATGGAGTCTTGCTCTGTCGCCCAGGCTGGAATGAATAGTGCGATCTTGGCTCACTGTAACCTCCAACTCCTGGTTCAAGCAATTTTCCTGCCTCAGCCTCCCAAGTAGCTGGGATAACAGGCATGTGCCACCACACTTGGCTAATTTTTGTATTTTTAGTGGAGACAGTGTTTCGCCATGTTGGCCGGGCTAGTCTTGAACTCCTGATATCTGCTTATCCCCCTGCCTCAGCCTCCCAAAGTGTTGGGATTACAAGAATGAGCCACCACACCTGGTCTACCTGGCTAATTTTTATTTTATTTTTAATTTATTTTTTGAGACAGAATCTTGCTCTGTCACCCAGGCTGGAGTACAGTGGTACAATTTTGGCTCACTGCAACCTCTGCCTCCCAGGTTCAAGTGACTGTTCTGCCTCAGCCTCCCAAGTAGCTGGGACTACAGGCACGTACCACCATGCCCAGCTAATTTTTGTATTTTTAGTAAAGTCAGGGTTTCACCATGTTGGCCAGGATGGTCTCGATCTCTTGACCCTGTTATTCACCTACCTCAGTCTCCCAAAGTGCTGGGATTACCGGTGTGAGCCACTGTGCCTGGTCCAAATTTTTGTATTTTTAATAGAGCGGGCTTTCGCCATGTTGGCCAGGGTGGTCTCAAACTCCTGACCTCAGGTGACCTGCTGGCTTTGGCCTCCCAATGTGGTGGGATTACAGGTGTGAGCCACCGTGCCTAGCCAATATGTTGTTTTAATGCAATTCTAGGGGGGATGTTTAGAGTACTCAAAAGAACAAACCTTCCTTTATGATAATATAGAAGCATGGAATTTTTCTTTTTATATATAAATGACTAACAAATTGTTCTGCAACTTATCAAATTTCATCTCATTAAACATCTTCTGTTATGTGGATTATAAGATGTTTAATCTACCTCCACCACTCCTATTTGAAGGACAGTGATTCGTTCTGTAATGCTGGAGCAGGTCAACCATTGGTACTTGCTCTCTCCTCAAAACCTTCTTCCCCAAGCTGCTGCCAAGCCTCTCTCTCGCTTTGATCTCCTCTGGCATTCCCGGTTTCCTGTTCTTGCCCCTCCTTGTGAATGAGCTGTCCTAATTGTTCCAGCTTTCCAGCTCTGCTCTAACTGGCCCTCCTCAGCCCTCCCCTTCATAGTCCCTGAACATTCCCCTAGATTCACTCACACTGCTGGGTTTGGAGACTTCTCAGATCCTTGTCTTCATCTCCAGGCCCTCAGTTAAAGGGCCTATGAATTATAGGACTCATAAACCCCTATGAATTATAGGATTTGGACACACAGGTAGCTTATTTAGAGAAATTGCAAGATGCCATGATTATTCTGCCTCAGCCTCTCTAGTAGCTGGGATTAAGGGGCAATGGGAAGCCCCTTAGGTTCTGTGAGACTCCCTAAAACAAATAGAATGGGCCAGAAGCACACCGCAGGCACATCTAAGTCATGCACTCTGGGCTCCGCAGATCTGGGACACAGTATGGTAAACTGCGCGTGGGTGGGATGCTGAATGCTGCCATTCTCTTAGCAGTCTTGGATCCCACAGGTGCATCTCACCACACTGAATATCACCCTATTGTAGAACTAGCTGTACATTCCTTTTCTCACAACCTGAGCCCTACATGCCTGCTAGCATCCTACTCTGGACCCTCAGAAGGAACACCAAAGCCAAGTATGGTGACTCGTGCCTATGATCCCATCGCTTTGGGAGGCTGAGGTGGGTGGATTGCCTGGGGTCACAGGAGTTCGAGACCAGCCTGGCCAACATGGCAAAACCTCGTCTCTACTAGAAACACAAAAATTAGCCAGGTGTGTCAGCACATTCCTGTAATCCCAGCTACTCGCAAGGCTGGGGCAGGAGAATTGCATGAACCTGGGAGGCAGAAGTTGCAGTGAGCCGCGATCGTGCCACTGCACTCCAGCAGGCTGTTACAGCCATGCCCATAGACTGCTGGCTGTAATATGATGTATTCCTTAGGGCTTTTCTTGAGCCCTTAGACCATACTTCATTTTTTATCCAAAATGCTGAATTTTGAGATAGGACACAGATGTGCCATTTTACCATTTAAATAAATGGAGTTAGGGCCATCCATTTTTCCATCAGTCTGGAAGGACGTTGGTGTTAAGATTGGCATACATATCAAGGACAGTAACTACCATGGCTTCCAAAGTTTTGCCAAAACCTCAGAGGTGTGGCCTTCTGGCCAAGCATCTGCGATTTCATATGATTGGAGCATTCATGGTATCCCTGGGGGTTATAGCTCTCTATAAGTTTGCTGTGGCTGAACCAAGAAAGAAGGCATACACAGATATCTACAGAAATTATGATCTCATGAGAGATTTGGAGGAGATGAGGAAGGCTGGTATCTTTCAGAGTACAAAGTGATCTTGGAATATAAAGAATTTCTTTAGGTTGAATTACCTAGAAGTTTGTCACTGATTCGTGTCCCTGAACTATGACACATGAATATGTGGGCTAAGAAATAGTTTCTCTTGATAAATGAATAATTAACAACAACAACAAAATGGAGTTAGACGGGCATAGTGGCTCACGCCTGTAATCCCAGCACTGTGGGAGGCTGAGGCGGAGGGATTTCTTGAGCTCAGGAGATCAAGGCCAGTAAGCTGTCACTGCACTCCAGGCTGGGCAAGAAAGCAAGACTCTGTCTTATAAAACAAACACAAAAACAAAACAAAAATAAAAATTTTAAAATAAAAATTGAGCTAAATTTACAACAACATAGTGGACACATTTTTTTTTTTTTTT